ATGGGCTTTCTACGTGGAAGGTGCCGATGTCGATCCTCCCACAATACGACCCACTCATGATGCCTCATGAGCCAATCTGTATCTATCTTGCCACGTCTATCTAAGCTATGCAACTCGTCCATATTGCGAGGTGCTTCCGGAATTGGTTGAAAAAAACAAAACTGTTGGAGCACGCGATCAGTGGAGTACCACTCGACGGTCGCATAACAGATCAGAGGGACCATCACCATCCAAACATCTGATGGACCCCTCAACTCAGGTGGGATCACCGCCCTCACATCATCAGTAGAATATGGCACCATTCAAACTAAAACAAATAATATATAATTTTTATCAAAATAATAATCTAATTATATAACTATAATCTAAAATCGATTTTTAAATATTAAAATTCATACATGTATGCCATCCTTCTGATCGATTAGCACCCTAATTTTTTCTAAATAATCAGGTGGCTCCTGATGATTTTTCCTATCAGTAGACCACCTATTCAAGGAAAAAAATTTATTATACGTTGTATAAAATTATTAATATACAAAATCAGTTTTATAATTACCTCAGAAGTAGTGGAAATACGAATGGGTTCTTCACAACGGGACATAAAAAAGGCAATCGATACCATGCCCAAGACTGCAGCAGTAGGAGACATCCGCCGATAGCATTATGCCTGTAGTCAGTGGCTCCACACATCTCCCTGTACAACAAAGCCAAAACTGTCGAGCCCCAACTGAATGATCTGGCGAGACGAAAGTCGCTGAGATGTCGCAACCACATGCAGTGAACTAGGTTACGCGATTTGTCCGGGATCAGCAACCCTCCTATCAACTGCAATATGCATGCCTGTGCATATATCTTAACCTCATCCTCAGAGGCGTCTGCGCTCAACTCCCGAAAATTGTCATCTAACCAATTTAACGGTATCATACCTCCGATAAAACTTTCCGGGACACGTCCTAGATTATCCCGACATAAAGTAGTCCAAGAACCGGAAGCTATCCCTGATATCACATCTCCATCCACCGAAATCCCCAGGTGCATAGAAACATCCTCAAGCGTGATCGTGCACTCTCCGCACGGAAGATGGAATGTGTGGGTCTCCGGCCTCCACCGCTCTACTAAGGCAGAAATAAGGTCTGGTTCTATCTTACAGTGACTCTGATATCTACCTATGTAACCAAATCCAGCCTCTACTAAATACGGCAAGACACGACTAGGTATCACTAACTTAAGATTCCTAATAAAAGGATCTAATACACGGTCATTCTCCTAAAAATAAATAATTACAAATATTAATTCTTAATCTAATAATCATGCATTAAATAAATCAACTAATTATTACTAATAATTTAAATTAAATTAAAACGTTAAAATGTTACCGTATCAGCAAAGTGTCGAGATATATGATTTCCATCTAAGCGAAGTAGAATGTCTTCCATTATATATCTGCAAAAGAATTATATTAGTAAAATATTAAATAAAGTAAAATAATTAAATAAATTAAATACATAATAATAAAAATATTATAAAATATACCTTAAACAAAGATATTATTTGAGAGAAATTAAGAGAATTTGAGAGAATTTGGTGTGATGAAAGTGATTGAGGATGGGGGTATTTATAAGGAGGATTGGGGGTGTGAAGCGTCGGGGGTATGGGAGTAATTATGGGTATAGCGAGCTCCCTGTACCGCGCTATACCCCATGTGTCAGATAACCATGTATAGCGCGGCCCTTGATCTGCGCTATACCCCTACGTGACGTATAGCGCGGATCAGGGGTCGCGCTATATCTACATGTAATCCATGTCAGCGTATAGCGCGGTGCAGGGGGCGCGCTATACCCTACGTGACGTCAAATCAGCATATAGCGCAGGGCATGGGGCGCGCTTTACTGCTACGGGTATTAGATCAGGAAATATAATCTGACCGGTATTAGATAGATAAATATACCAATCACCGGTGATTTTTCGAGAATTTCACCGTAATTTTGTAACTTTTAAAACTTTCAAAAGTTATAAAAAAACACCCATTAGCCAGATGATCATTTGTGTACTTTACCCCAATAATAATAATATGTACAGTCAAAGTCAAATCATTGGTTTAATGACCGGGACGATACCATTGGTCAGAAACAAACGGGAATGGGGTCCCACATAGCAGTTGCAATAATAGAAGGAAGTCTCAACTCCCAAATTTCGGACGGCAACAGCCAAGCCCAAAACACAGGGTGTGATAAAACGGCGTAGCATCGGACAGCGGTTATCGTTGTTTTGTTCTTGAGTGGTGTGCGGTGTTAGGGGCGGTTCAAATCTCGCGTCATCGGCTTCTAAAGTCGGTAAATTTATAGAAAAAAAATGTATACAAAAATTATGTATCATAATAGTACCTATAAATATTATTTAAATATAATATTATTTTTATCACATAAAATAGCTAACTGCATCTTATTAAAGGTGTTCTCAATTTAATATATATTTACTTTACAAAATGAAATGTGCTAAAATTCTAAATTATGATTGATTGAAAGGGAAAGGTATAGATTATTATCCGTGTCTCATTTTGAGAAGTTTAAAAATTTAGAGGTCTGATCTTTTAATTGCTTTCTAATGAATTAATTACATCTTACATTCTCAAACAACAACCTTTATTTTGAATTGGTTCCAAAAAATTTTAATATTCCAATTTCATCCCTAAACTATGACTCTAATTATAATTCGACTCTCAAATTTTGAATGTTCTAAATATATCATCAAACTACGACCCTCAGTCTAAATTGGTCCCTAAATTTTTAAACTTTTCAATAACATCTCCTAAAATCATTCAAAAGTTTGGGGGATAAAATTGGAATATTCAAAAGTTTGGCGGTTAATATAGAATGAGTGTCATAATTTAGGGACAAAATTGGAATATTCAAAGTTTAAAGGCCAGTTTAGAATGAAAGTCTAGTTTAGAGATGAAATTAGAATATTTAAAAGTTTAAAGAGTAATTTAGGATGTGAATCATAATTTTGAAGATGCATAACGTAATTAACTCCTTTTTAATTGAAAACTAATTATTTTAAGAAGATACTTTCTTCTTTGTAAATCCTCTCGTTATTTTCTTCTTTACATTAAAGAAGAGTAAGAAAAAAAAAAAACAAAATTTTAAAAGGAAAAAAAGTACATTTAGAAGACACGTTTACATTTGATATAATTGGTATGTTATTCCAACATAGGCTAGGCTAAGGCTCCTATAACCGTCCAATACCCAACTTTGATGTCAACCTCATTCATCCCTGCTCTACATGCCTAGGCTTTCCCCCTAATTGTTTTGTCTTCATGTTGCTATTCACTTTAGGCATAATGTACAAATATAGGCTTAAATTATATTTAAAATTAATTTTAACTGTTTAATTTTTTTCACTCAATATAAATGTTTAATGTTTATAACTCGACTAAATCTGAAAATTTTATATCTTTCACCGATCTGACTTTTTGAGATGAAAACCGAACTCAACCCGACTCGAATTGAAATAAAAAAATATTTCTATTCAATAAAAATAATGATTTAATTGAAAAAGTTAATATATAGAAGGTTATTATTATAATTATTCTTAAATATATAAGGTAAAATTATATATTTTTCTGGGTCGGGTCGAGTATTTTCACTATAAATCTGAATTCGACCCGACCCGAACACCACCTTTAAAAAATATGACCCGACCCGAACTTCAATTTTTTTTTATAAAAAAACCTGATTCGATCGAGTCAAATCAGGTTCGAGTCTCATGCCCATCTACTCTTTTAAATGTCCTTAATGATTTTTCAAAATATTGTTATCACATGTCGCGTTTATACTTTCTTTGAAATTTTTATTTTTCTAAAGAAAAATTAAAATTATTATTACTTTTTAAATCTCATTTTATAAAACACTTAATTTTAAATCACATTTCAAACCGTTGTCAATCATCTCTAGCCACACCTTCGTCGTCGAATATTCACCCGTATGTCGTCGTTCATCTGATAACCGATTATTGCCCTTACCATTATCCAAAACCTCTAAGTACTTAAACCCCTAAATTCTTAATCCTAAATTTATTCTCAATCGATTAACGGTGACTGGGTGATTTAGTCCCATCCAACAAGCGGTGGGTTGAAATGGGATGTGGCGATATGGGGATGGGAATGGGAATGGGGCGCGAATACTGAAATTTACCATCAGAATCGCTGAACGAATGTGAAGGAGAGTTAATATTATTGTTGAACGAAGGGACGGGAGAATTTAGGTATCGGTTTTTCTTAAAAACAAAATTAATTCAAAAATAATATTTTTTTATCGTTTAAAAAAAATTTAAAAAATATAAACTCAAAACATGTTAGATAATATATTTTTAATGATCATTATAACGTATACATTTAAAATAGTAGTGTTAAACATCTGATTTAAACAAAAAAAATATATAAATTTTAATAATTTCTACCTAAGGAGAGGGGGAAAAGAATTTTTCTTCCTATGCTTATTAAATTCTCAACTTAAGAGATAGCGGAAGTGTCCACTAAAAGATTTTAATTATTTGCTCTAAAGACTATTGACTAAACAAAAATATTTTAAACACTTGAAATTAATAAAATGTATATTTTAGACACATATTTTCACTAAACCTTTTCTTTATGTAACTTATCTGTCCATTATAAAAGTATGTGAGCACTAATAATAGGTTAAGAAAATTTTGAATAAATATTATTTTATAACAATATCATACTATTAAAAATAGTTTAAAATGATTATAAAATAATATATTTTTTAAATTTTTAATTTTTAATAAAATCATATTCTACTAATATAATTATTTAAATTACCTCTCATTAAAATTGTCGATCATGAAGAGTGAGTGAGAATTTTTGACATTAAATAATCAAAGAAATTGTCAACACAGACAAATATATATATATATATATATAAGACCAGAGAGAGAGAGAGAGAGAGAGAGAGAGAGAGAGAGAGAGAGATGTGTATGTGAAAATGAAAGAGGTGGATTCCTTGCACATCCAATCGACACCTTCCAGAGAGTAGCTTCGGTTTTAGGTTGCCTTTCTTTATTCTCTTTTCTATTTTGCATTTCTCCCTCTGCTCTCCGCCTTCTCTTCTCTCTCTGTAATCTCACTCATTAGTTCAAGACTTCAAGCTGGCGATCGAAAACCAAGAATCCACTGTCCGTGAAATCAAGACCAAGAAGAGAAGAATCATGGTAAAAAAACACTACTTTTCTTTTCTACTTGTTAATTCAGCTTTTGTTTCTTTTCTTATTTTTTCTTATTTTACATGGGTATTGATTAAGAAAGCGTTTTGATGAGATTGGATTTGGTGTGTTTTTTACAGGGAGCTGGTGGACCTGATGAAGAAGATAACAGGTGGCCGCCATGGTTGGAACCTCTGTTGAGAGAACATTTCTTTGTTCAATGCAAGCTTCATGCTGATTCTCACAAGAGTGAATGCAATATGTTCTGCTTAGATTGTATGAATGGCGCTCTCTGCTCTCTATGTCTAGCTTATCACAGAGATCATCGTTATATTCAGGTTCAATATTTTTTTACCACTTTTTTTCTTTTGGAATTTGCGTCATTTCCTCTTATGGAGATATGAGGAATCCCGTTATTCAATCCCCTTTTTGGCATTCATGTTTCCAATTCTGGATTTCTGTTCTTTGTCCTTTCTTAGAGCTTGTTTTCAATTTTGAGATTCTCCTCCAAGTTTATTTCTTTTTGCTCTGTTTTTTTTCTTGAATGTACTAAAAAGACTAGAACTTTCATATTTTCTCAGCATCCAAGCAGGCATTGATTCAACCTTGTAGACCTTTTCTTTGTCTTGTAAAGTATTTTCAGCTTTCCCCCCCCCCTATTGTCATCCAAAACACTAGTGGTTTTTCAATCTACCAATCGATCCCAGAAAAAAAAAACTCAATTCGTCCTTTGTTTCTAAAAAGAAACCCAGATTTTTTTGTCATGAAAATGGGTCTAATCTGATTTTGTATTTCTTGACATACAAGGCAATAAAACTCGTAACTTTTCCATTAGATTTACTAATTAGATCTGCTTTGTTTTGTGTTTTGGAGACAGATTAGGAGGTCCTCGTACCATGATGTGGTAAGGGTATCGGAGATACAAAAATACCTGGACATAACTGGCGTCCAAACTTATGTTATAAACAGCGCCAAGGTCGTCTTCATCAACGAGAGGCCTCAACCAAGGCCCGGAAAAGGTGTCAACAACACCTGTGAGGTCTGTGACCGTAGCCTTGTCGACTCCTTCCGCTTCTGCTCTCTCGGTTGCAAGGTGAATACGCTGTTTTCTTTCTTCTTTAATTAATTTTTCCGTAGTCAACGGTGTTGTTTGGTAGTTGAGAAAGTGTACGATTTGCCAAGGTTCCAGTTTTCCAAGCAATAAACCAAAATGGTCAAATTTGCTTAATTCTTTGACTTTCTCTTCATTGGCATGGGACTACTAGTCTACTAGCATTCTATGAAATGTGAATTCTAATTGGTTTCCACATTTACTTTCTCAAATTTCAGATTGTTGGCACATCAAGAAATTTCCCGAAGAAGAAGATGCACATCTCCGCCGTGGCATCGGATTCCGAAGACTCGTACAGCTGCAGTAGCCTTGGAAAGGTGAAGAACTACAACAACAAAGTGCAGAGCTTTAGTCCTTCGACGCCGCCTCCGACATCGGCGAAACGGAGAAAGGGGATTCCCCATCGAGCCCCAATGGGAGGACTAGTCATAGAATATTAGCCATAGCCATAGCGTTGTTCCTTTTTGTCCTTTTAAAGATCCGCCATTGTCACAGTATTGTGTATGTATAAACATGAGAAGCAAAAACCCATTGAGTGTAGAAGTGGAGAATGATGGAAAAATAAGCCCCCAAAATATGTTGAAGTGATACAACTAGGAAGCTTCCCTTTTAGTGTTCACAATGATGGTACTTAGGCTTTTTAGCAAATAATAATGGGGAATAATATATGTACATAGGGTTTCGTTTAGTACAAGTTTTAGGGTTGAGGGTTAGCGAAAGGAAATCACGTACTGTGCAATCTAAAGTTAATGTTTATAATTTTTGGTTATGGAAATGAAATAATAGTAAGGTTGGTCGATAGTGATTTTTTCAATAGCATTATACGATTATAAGATAGTATTTATATAAATTTTTTTTAATTATATATAATCAATTCTTATATGATTATAAGATAATATTTATATAAAAATGTAATTATTGATAATATATATAGTTTACAGATGTAATTGCTTAAATTTTAAAAAAAATTATCAATAAAGTTTAATAGATTCGTTGCCTATGATTTGACTGATTGGTTTCCGTTTTTGGAAGGTGATCTCTGGTGATTAACTTTCGAATTTCAAGGGTTACCATCTATGGTGGCACGTGAGAGATTGGATATGTCATGAAAGTGAAACTGATTGTTTTGGTCGTGTCCAATATCACCATTGTTAGGTTAGTCGCCACTCGCCGAAATCGGTGAGCCGTCCACGTACCGAGAAGTCATATTCCGCGTGTAAATTCACAACTAGCCAGACCAACCACACACCATTGTCTGAAAACATAGGAAAGAAGGCAAAAGAACGAAAACATCCATCGTCATTGATGACCTGATCCATCACGAGGAACCCGTACAACATCGAATATGGATCAAGTTGTTCGGTTTCGGCCTAGATAGTAGATACTTGTAACATTTTTAACTAACACATATATATATACATGGTGTGATGTCAAACGGCATTTTACAATATCTAGGGTTAGCATTCAATAGAATCAATTCAAAAAATTTCGAGTTATTTGAATTTCTATACTAATTTATTTATAATTACTTATAGTTTATGGCAAGGATTTGTTCCAAATTTTTGACTTTCTCTAATCATATATATATATATTCTTTTCACATTATAATGTCATTTAATATATCAAATACAATCTAAAATTATAAAATAGATTCATAATGTTATATTTTAAAGAAAGTATTTTGAGGGAAAAATATTGATGACAGTATAAAGGAGTAAGAAATTTATGAGAATAAAGAATTTATGAGAATAAAGAATTTGCATACAATTGTAGTCAAAATATCAAATTGAGTAAAATACAAAGTTAATGAACTAAATAAAAAAAGAGAGAGTACATTTTTAGTTGAAGTAAGAATTGAAGTTGCATAGGAATTCTATTGTAGTATATGAGCATGTGGTTCAAATTTGGTAAAAAATGGACTTAAAATAAAGAATGAATTGAAGAAATAAGGAAATTATGAAAAATTGAGGGATTAAATTGAAAACTAGAAAATTTATTATAAAAAAGAGGAATTAAAAGTACATATGTATTCTACGATGGTTAAGGATCATGTGGTTCAAACTTGGTAAAAAGTGGACTTAAGTGAAGGAATAATGAAATTATGGACTAAATTGTAAAACTATCAAAGTACTTAGTCAAATTTTCAGTTTTTCGAGTAACTCAAAATTTCAACTCGACTCGAACTCGAAAATCGAATTGATAATTCGAGTTGACTCAAATAACTTTAAATTAAAAAAAAATTGATTTTTTGGATCGAGTCGAGTTTTGCTCACCCCTACTAATATTTCTGCTTCCCAGATTCGATGGTTTATTATTTTTTCCCATTACAAACATCATTCTTATTATTTTTTTGAACCTTTTTCTTCATCATTCATAACGTAACGAATACAAAAACATTTTCCTTTTTTCCATCTTTCTTCTTCCTAGTTTTATTTTCCTCGAAATCCCCTCAAAATTTATAAACTCTGTTTTATCTTAGTTCAATTTATAATCTCCATCATCTGATCATCGTATAATTGAAATATGTTACCTTCTTCCTCTCGACGTTCTCGTCTTCTGATTTTTAAAAAAAAGTACAACTATGCCATTGAATCAAAATGAGTTTAAAAATTTTAATTGAATTTTTTTTTCAAAAGTTTGTGGATGGGCAACCAAATGGAGTTAATGTCAACTATGACTTTAGATTAGTTTGTGCAAAGTCAAAGGTGGATTTAACAATATTCAAGCCTCTCAAGTAGTGTTATGAAGAACCAGACACCAAAGTTGTTTGCATCTATTTATTTATGTATTTTTGCTAAAAAATCTCTTAGGTCCTTATTTGTGAAGTTTTGGAAATTAGTTTCTCTCAATCGTAGAAAAGTCTCTTTCAATCTCTAAAGTGAATAATAAAAGATAATAACGTTATTAATGTTTTCCCTCAAATTTATATAAATTTGATTAACATAGTAGTAAATTTAATTTAGAATTATTTTAATTATTGACAATGTATATATTTCTTATTGACATCTGTCGCAGCCGTCTTTCGGGTGGGTCCGGAATTGAGCTTCGACTTGAATAAAATGGTTAGAGTCGCCACCGATCATTTATTTTAAGAACAAAATGGCTTGATCGAATACCTCGATTTCTTACCTGATCTGGATCTTACCAAAGATATGACGGATTCGAGAGTCAGTTACAGTCAAGGAAGGATTAGCACCATTGAACTGCCCTTTCGGTACTAATTAATTTTCATGGGAAAAATAAATGTTTAGAAAACACGGGGGACTAAAACTATAATTAGCCCTCTTTTTCGGTAAATAGGATCCACGGGTCGGGTTATCGGGCCTCAACGGGTCACGTATAAAACCAAATTTATTTTCATTTTCTCCCCCCACACCAAAACAGATCAAACTGATCCCTAAAATTTCCTCTGCCTTTTTCTTGGTGTTCTTCATCTGATGAAGAACACCGCCGTCCAACCCAGAAACCGGTCGGCCACCTCCTTGCCAGCCGCCGTTCATCGGAGATGGCAAAAAAAATTATACCATTCGAAAGATCTTTCCCTCCTCTTTTAAAAAACAAGGTTCATTTTCGTAAAACGGCCTCGAGGAGGGCTAGATCTGACAGAAAAAATCTCGATCGTCCTCCCTCGCTCATCGACCGTTCTCCCTTTTTCAGGTTTTTTGAGTCAAAAACAAAAACAAAAATCACTTTATCAACATGCATGAGCCAAAAACAACTGAACCAGTTAAAAAAATGATACATTTTTATTTCTTTTTCGAAACCTTACAAATGCTTTTTTTTGGGTATTGCTCTTGTAATTCCTTGCGTATTTTCTCGGTAATTTCTTCTGATTTTTACAAGTATTTATAGTGCTTAAAGTCATATTTTCCATTCGGTTTTAGACTCCTATTATGACTAAAATTGTCTGTTGTTTGTTGGTGTTCCACGAAATCACGTCGCTATGTTTGTTGTGCCGAGAAAAACGATCGTTGGTTGCGGCTGGGACGAGGAGTCTTCGAAGGAGGGAGATGCGGCGCTGAGGAGACGATGAGTTAGGGTCTCAAACCCTAACTGATTCAGGTTACATCTTGGGGCCGATTTGGGTCTGAACCGGACCTCGGGTTGCTGGTTCGGGTCCACTGTATTAGGTCATTGTTGCATATTGTTTAACGTAAACGGTCGATTAACTGCTATAATGGTTATTATATTTTTCTATCCATACCTAACCGTTAAGAAACGATTAATGCTTGACTTATTTGTAACTATTGGACCTAGTACAAAAATAAAAATATGTAGTATAAATGTATGTACCATATTATATAATATAATTACAATGACATGAATCAATATGTAATATAAATATATTATATAGCAGAATGATCGTAATAATATAAATCGAATTGAGCCGGACGTAATTAGGTGTCTACAGCTGCCCTTCTATGCCCATTATCGTGTAACGAAAATAGGGCAAATATTAAAAGACACAAATTTTGTCTGCCATGAACGTATCGTTTAACGTCTTCTCATTTTCTACGATTAATCTCAACCTTTGATTTCTCCTCTATAAAGGTATAAAACTTTTTAGTTTTACACTATATAATTGTATCATAGCCCATAAATGTAACCGTGGTTTTTTCGTAGTCATGTGGCCCTTTGCATTTATAGCGAAATCCAGTTTGAGTTAGGTTGTGGTGAGGGCAGGAAGAAATGAGGTGGTTGTGGCCATTAAAGCTGCATAAGTAAAGCTTTAATGCATCAAGGCCATAATACTATTGGCTAACCGCCAACTCTGCCGGCCATGCCTGTACGGACGAAAGGTTCCTTCTGTTTTTTAAACGTTACGCAATGGTGAGGTGCCTCTGTTTAGAACGTTATAATTATAGATTAAGAAGCGAACAAACAAGGGTTCACCGAATCCATTTTAAAGCATAAAAGTGATCATTTAATTCCCTTTATTCAATTGTGTACGGTGATGAACCTTAGATTACAACTGATCATAAATTCATGGCTGCACCATGCGGCCAATTAATGCTGAATTGTGTGGAACATCAGCCATTTCGTTACTGCTGACTGCTGAGGCTGTTCCTTTCCTGGCTCCAAATGGAAACGATGGCATAATCCCGCGACTTGACTTTTAATCATTCTATCATGCAACTCTTTGGTTGTTTCTCCTATTATTCGTCTTTTTTTCGATAATGTATGTAGTTTTATAAAATTAATTTGTCAACATGTAAGTTATAATACTTTTTAAATTAAGGTACGATGAGGGTAAGAAACAAGATATAATGTTATGACTAGGCTAAGTGATATTTTTATAAACTATATGCATGAAACCAAAACAAGTTATTATAAATGGATTATATATTTTGTGCACACCTGTCTGGGTGGTGTAGCTGGTTATCACGCTAGTCTCACACACTAGAGGTCCCCGGTTCGAACCCGGGCTCAGACAATTTGTTTAATTTTTTATTTTTCCAACCAATTTTACTGTTTATGAAAACGAATAGAAGGAAGATTTAACTGCTAAGAAAATGACAAAAGTATAGGAATAAATATTCTGCAATTATTATGGTTACATAGTTCATCACATTTTGGAAAATTAATCATATTAATCCTTTTCCTGATAATATACAAATAGAAAGATTATCAGAATTGCATAAGCAGGAACGTTTTTAACACAGCTTTTTAATTTTATTTTAGTCCCTCCAAGTCAAAATTATTCACTTTGCACCTCTACATCGGCTCCTTGGCTGCAAATCTGATGAGGAATGCACTTGATATCAATTTTAACTATTTCGGTTGTGGAACATAATCA